GAGACCCATAGATTCAAATAGAGACCCATAGACTCACACAGAGACCCATAGACTCACGTAGAGACCCCATAGACTCACACAGAGACCCATAGACTCACATAGAGACCCATAGACTCACGTAGAGACCCATAGACTCACGTAGAGACCCATATACTCAAGTAGAGACTCATAGACTCACGTAGAGACCACATAGACTCACATAGAGACCCATAGACTCACACAGAGACCCATAGACTCACATAGAGACCCATAGTCTCACATAGAGACCCATAGGCTCACATACAGACCCGTAGACTCATGTAGAGACCCATAGACTCACATAGGAACCCATAGACTCACATAGAGACCCATAGACTCACACAGAGACCCATAGACTCACACAGAGACCCATAGACTCACATAGAGACCCATAGACTCACGTAGAGACCCATAGACTCATATAGAGACCCGTAGACTCTCGTAGAGACCCATAGACTCACATAGAGACCCGTAGACTCACGTAGAGACCCATAGACTCACATAGAGACCCGTAGACTCACGTAGAGACCCATAGACTCACATAGAGACCCGTAGACTCACGTAGAGACCCATAGACTCACATAGAGACCCGTAGACTCACGTAGAGACCCATAGACTCACATAGAGACCCGTAGACTCTCGTAGAGACCCATAGACTCACATAGAGACCCGTAGACTCTCGTAGAGACCCATAGACTCACATAGAGACCCGTAGACTCACGTAGAGACCCATAGACTCACATAGAGACCCATAGACTCAAGTAGAGACTCATAGACTCACATAGAGACCCATAGACTCACATAGAGACCCATAGTCTCACATAGAGACCCATAGACTCACATAGAGACCCATAGACTCACATAGAGACCCGTAGACTCACGTAGAGACCCATAGACTCACATAGAAACCCATAGACTCACATAGAGACCCATAGACTCACACAGAGACCCATAGACTCACACAGAGACCCATAGACTCACATAGAAACCCGTAGACTCACACAGAGACCCATAGACTCACATAGAGACCCATAGACTCACACAGAGACCCATAGACTCACACAGAGACCCATAGACTAGCATAGAGACCCATAGACTAGCATAGAGACCCATAGACTCACACAGAGACCCATAGACTCACACAGAGACCCGTAGACTCACACAGAGACCCATAGACTCACACAGAGACCCGTAGACTAGCATAGAGACCCGTCGACTCACACAGAGACCCATAGACTCACACAGAGACCTATAGACTAGCATAGAGACCCACAGACTCACATAGAGACCCACAGATTCACATAGAGACCCCATAGACTCACACAGAGACCCATAGACTCACGTAGAGACACGTAGACTCACACAGAGACCCATAGAATCACACAGAGACCCATAGACTCACACAGAGACCCACAGACTCACATAGAGACCCACAGACTCACATAGAGACCCCATAGACTCACACAGAGACCCATAGACTCACGTAGAGACACATAGACTCACACAGAGACCCATAGACTCACACAGAGACCCATAGACTCACGTAGAGACCCATAGACTCACACAGAGACCCACAGACTCACACAGAGACCCACAGACTCACACAGAGACCCATAGACTCACACAGAGACCCATAGACTCACACAGAGACCCATAGACTCACATAGAGACCCATAGACTCACACAGAGACCCATAGACTCACACAGAGACCCATAGACTAGCATAGAGACCCATAGACTAGCATAGAGACCCATAGACTCACACAGAGACCCATAGACTCACACAGAGACCCGTAGACTCACACAGCGACCCATAGACTCACATAGAGACCCAGAGACTCACATAGAGACCCATAGACTCACATAGAGACCCATAGACCCACGTAGAGATCCATAGACTCACACAGACTCACATAAAGACGCATAGACTCACATAGAGACCCATAGACTAGCATAGAGACCCGTAGACTCACACAGAGACCCATAGACTCACGTAGAGACCTATAGACTAGCATAGAGACCCCATAGACTCACATAGAGACCCATAGACTAGCATAGAGACCCCATAGACTCACACAGAGACCCATAGACTCACATAGAGACCCATAGACTCAGATAGAGACCCATAGACTCACATAGAGACCCATAGACTCACATAGAAACCCATAGACTCACATAGAGACCCATAGACTCACATAGAGACCCGTAGACTCACGTAGAGACCCATAGACTCACATAGAGACCCGCAGACTCACGTAGAGACCCATAGACTCACATAGAGACCCGTAGACTCACGTAGAGACCCATAGATTCACATAGAGACCCATAGACTCACACAGAGACCCATAGACTCACGTAGAGACCCCATAGACTCACACAGAGACCCATAGACTCACATAGAGACCCATAGACTCACACAGAGACCCATAGACTCACACAGAGACCCATAGACTAGCATAGAGACCCATAGACTAGCATAGAGACCCATAGACTCACACAGAGACCCATAGACTCACACAGAGACCCGTAGACTCACACAGCGACCCATAGACTCACATAGAGACCCAGAGACTCACATAGAGACCCATAGACTCACATAGAGACCCATAGACTCACGTAGAGATCCATAGACTCACACAGACTCACATAAAGACGCATAGACTCACATAGAGACCCATAGACTAGCATAGAGACCCGTAGACTCACACAGAGACCCATAGACTCACGTAGAGACCTATAGACTAGCATAGAGACCCCATAGACTCACATAGAGACCCATAGACTAGCATAGAGACCCCATAGACTCACATAGAGACCCATAGACTCACATAGAGACCCATAGACTCACATAGAGACCCATAGACTCACATAGAGACCCATAGACTCACATAGAAACCCATAGACTCACATAGAGACCCATAGACTCACATAGAGACCCATAAACTCACATAGAGACCCATAGACTCACATAGAGACCCGTAGACTCACGTAGAGACCCATAGACTCACATAGAGACCCGTAGACTCACGTAGAGACCCATAGATTCAAATAGAGACCCATAGACTCACACAGAGACCCATAGACTCACGTAGAGACCCCATAGACTCACACAGAGACCCATAGACTCACATAGAGACCCATAGACTCACGTAGAGACCCATAGACTCACGTAGAGACCCATATACTCAAGTAGAGACTCATAGACTCACGTAGAGACCACATAGACTCACATAGAGACCCATAGACTCACACAGAGACCCATAGACTCACATAGAGACCCATAGTCTCACATAGAGACCCATAGACTCACATACAGACCCGTAGACTCATGTAGAGACCCATAGACTCACATAGGAACCCATAGACTCACATAGAGACCCATAGACTCACACAGAGACCCATAGACTCACACAGAGACCCATAGACTCACATAGAGACCCATAGACTCACGTAGAGACCCATAGACTCATATAGAGACCCGTAGACTCTCGTAGAGACCCATAGACTCACATAGAGACCCGTAGACTCACGTAGAGACCCATAGACTCACATAGAGACCCGTAGACTCACGTAGAGACCCATAGACTCACATAGAGACCCGTAGACTCACGTAGAGACCCATAGACTCACATAGAGACCCGTAGACTCTCGTAGAGACCCATAGACTCACATAGAGACCCGTAGACTCTCGTAGAGACCCATAGACTCACATAGAGACCCGTAGACTCACGTAGAGACCCATAGACTCACATAGAGACCCATAGACTCAAGTAGAGACTCATAGACTCACATAGAGACCCATAGACTCACATAGAGACCCATAGTCTCACATAGAGACCCATAGACTCACATAGAGACCCATAGACTCACATAGAGACCCGTAGACTCACGTAGAGACCCATAGACTCACATAGAAACCCATAGACTCACATAGAGACCCATAGACTCACACAGAGACCCATAGACTCACACAGAGACCCATAGACTCACATAGAAACCCGTAGACTCACACAGAGACCCATAGACTCACATAGAGACCCGTAGACTCACATAGAGACCCATAGACTCACATAGAGACCCGTAGACTCACATAGAGACCCGTAGACTCACACAGAGACCCATAGACTCACATAGAGACCCGTAGACTCACGTAGAGACCCATAGACTCACATAGAGACCCATAGACTCACATAGAGACCCATAGACATGTCGTCGTTGTGTCACTGTTGTTGTCGTCATTGTTGTCATTGTCGCTGTTGTTGTTGTTGTTGTCGTCATTCTTGTCATTGTCGCTGTTGTTGTCATTGTTGTCGTCATCGTTGTTGTCGTTGTTGTTGTTGTCATTGTTGTTGTTGTTGATGTCGTCATTGTTGTTGTTGTCGTCATCGTTGTTGTAATTGTCGTTGTTGTTGTCATTGTTGTTGTTGATGTCGTCATTGTTGTTGTTGTCGTCATCGTTGTTGTCATTGTCGTTGTTGTCGTCGTTGTTGTTGTTGTCATCATTGTTGTTGTTGTCGTTGTCATTGTTGTCGTTGTTGTCGTTGTTGTTGTTGTTGTCGTCGTTGTTGTTGTCGTCATCGTTGTTGTCATTGTCGTTGTTGTCATCGTTGTTGTTGTTGTCGTCATTGTTGTCATTGTCGTTGTCATTGTTGTCGTTGTTGTCATTGTCGTTGTTGTTGTCGTCGTTGTTGTTGTTGTCGTCATCGTTGTCGTTGTTGTTGTCGTTATTGTTGTTGTTGTTGTCGCTGTTGTTGTTGTCATTGTTGTCGTCATCGTCGTTGTTGGCATTGTTGTTGTCATTGTCGTCATTGTTGTTGTCATTGTCGTCGTTGTTGTCATTGTTGTCGTCATTGTTGTCATTGTCGCTGTTGTTGTCATTGTCGTTGTCGTCATTGTTGTTGTTGTTGTCGTCATTGTTGTCGTTGTCGTCATTGTTGTGGCGCCGTGCCCCCCCCCTCCCCCCGCCCCCCCACCGCGTGCAGGAGACTTTGGGGTGTCGCGGCTTCTGCAGGCCCCGGCAGACATGGCCTCCACCTTCACGGGCACGCCGCTCTACATGAGCCCGGAGGTGCTGCAGCTGCACGCCTATGGGGCCAAGGCCGACATCTGGTGAGCGGCGCCGGTCCCACTCACCCACACGCTCACCACCAGCGCACCTCATCACCCGCACACTCACCATCACCACCAGCGCACCTCATCACCCACCACCACATCCACCAGCGCACCTCATCACCCATCACCATCACCACCCACCACCTCACCCACCACCGCACCTCATCACCCACCACCACCTCATCCACCAGCACACCTCATCACCCACCACCTCATCCACCAGCGCACCTCATCACCCACCACCTCATCCACCAGCGCACCTCATCACCCACCACCTCATCCACCAGCGCACCTCATCACCCACCACCACCACCACCACCACCACCTCATCACCCACCTCATCCACCAGCGCACCTCATCACCCACCACCACCACCTCATCACCCACCACCACCTCATCACCCACCACCACCTCATCACCCACCACCACCACATCACCCACCTCATCACCCACCCCAACGACTGCCGCCCAGCTGTGACGTTGAGCGCCGTCACCCCAGGGCCCTGGGCTGTGTGCTCTACGAGATGTGCACCCTGCGCCCGGCGTTTGCCGCCTCGACGTGGGTACAGATCCTGCGGCGCATCCTGGAAGAGCCGGGGCCAGCCCTGCCGCCCGGCTTCCCGCCCGCTCTCGACGCCCTCCTGCAGAGGTGGGGGGGGTGGGGGGTGGGGGGGGGGGGTGGGGGGGAAGGACCTCCCCAGCCCCCTGTCACCGTCATCATCACCAATGTCATAATCACCATTGCCACCACCATCATTAACTCCCCATCATCATCATCATCAGCACCGTCACCATCATCATCACCGTTGTCATGATCACCATTGTCACCACCATCAACTCCCTATTGTCATCATCATCATCATCAGCAGCACCGTCACCATCATCACCATTGTCATAATCACCATTGTCACCACCATCAACTAATAGTCATCATCATCAGCACTGTCACCATCATCATCACCGTTGTCATGATCACCATTGTCACCACCATCAACTCCCTATTGTCATCATCATCATCATCAGCAGCACCGTCGCCATCATCATCACCATTGTCATAATCACCATTGTCACCACCATCAACTAATAGTCATCATCATCAGCACTGTCACCATCATCATCACCGTTGTCATGATCACCATTGTCACCACCATCAACTCCCCATCATCATCAGCAGCAGCACTGTCACCATCATCATCACCATTGTCATAATCACCATTGTCACCACCATCTACTCCCCATCATCATCATCAGCACCATCACCATCATCATCACCGTTGTCACCACCAACTCCCCATCATCATCAGCACTGTCACCATCATCATCACCGTTGTCATGATCACCATTGTCACCACCATCAACTCCCTATTGTCATCATCATCATCAGCAGCACCGTCACCATCATCATCACCGTTGTCATAATCACCATTGTCACCACCATCAACTCCCCATCATCATCATCATCAGCAGCACTGTCACCAACATCATCACCATTGTCATAATCACCATTGCCACCACCATCAACTCCCCATCATCATCATCAGCAGCACTGTCACCAACATCATCACCGAGAGGTCCTTCCTGCTACAGCCCCCAAGCAACCCCCACCCCCTCCCTGCCGCTCGTGAACAGCACTTGCCCCAGCGGCCCGCGGAGGCTACACGGGGGACCTTTGTCTCGGTGCGCGTTGCGTGCAGGATGCTCAGCAAGGAGACGTCCGATCGCCCTTCGGCAGAGGAGCTCCTGCACGAGCCGTTCATCCAGCAGCGGATACAGGTGGCTCCACGCTCCGCTCTCACCACAGATTAACCTCGCCCACTCGCCCACTCCCGCTCCTCCCGCTCCTCCTGAGCGTGCCTGGTTTCAGTCACCCTCTCTCCCACTCCAGCCTCCCCTGACCCCCCGACCTCTGCCACAGAGTTCCCTCTCACGGCTGGAGGAGCAGCTGGGAGCAGAGAGGAGGCGGTGCGGAGCGGAGCAGGGGGAGGAGGAGACGTCCCAAGTGCCGTGAGTTGGTGTGAGCCCTGTGAGCACTCACTCACTCACACTCACTCACACTCACTCACACTCACTAACACACTCACTCACACACACTCACACTCACTCACTAACACACTCACTAACACACTCACTCACTCTCACTAACACACTCACTCACACTCACTCACTCACACTCACTCACACTCACTCACTCACACTCACTCACTAACACTAACACACTCACTCACACTAACACACTCACTCACTCACACTCACTCACTAACACTAACACTAACACACTCACTCACACTCACTAACACACTCACTCACACTCACTAACACTAACACACTCACTCACTAACACTAACACTAACACACTCACTCACACTCACTAACACACTCACTCACACTCACTCACTAACACACTCACTAACACACTCACTCACACTCACTCACACTAACACACTCACTCACACTCACTCACACTCACTCACACTAACAATAACACACTCACTCACACTCACTCACACTAACACACTCACTCACACTCACTCACTCACTAACACACTCACTCACTCACACTCACTCACTCACACTCACTCACACTAACACACTCACTAACACTAACACACTCACTCACACTCACTCACTCTCACTCACTCACACTAACACACTCACTCACACTCACTCACACTCACTCACACTCACTAACACACTCACTCACACTCACTCACACTCACTCACACTCACTAACACACTCACTCACACTCACTCTCACCCACTCACTCACACTCACTCACTCACTCACACTCACTCACTCACACTAACACACTCACTCACACTCACTCACTCACACTCACTCACTCACACTCACTCACACTCACTCACACTCAGCCACATAGCCACACAGCCACACTCACTCACACTCACTCACTCACACTCACTCACTCACACTCACTCACACTAACACAGTCACTCACACTCACTCACTCACACTAACACACTCACTCTCACACTCACTCACACTCACTCACACTCACTCACACTCACTCATTTACACTCACTCACACTCACTCACACTCACACACACTCACTCACACTCACTCACACTCACTCACTCACACTCACTCACACTCACTCACACACACTCTCACTCACACACACTCACACTAACACACTCACTCACACTCACTCACACTCACTCACTCACACTCACCCACACTCACTCACACTCACTCACACTCACTCACACTCATACTTACTTACACTCACTCACACTCACTCACTCACACTCACTCACTCACACTCACTCATTCACACTCACTCACTAACACTCACTCACCCACCCACCCACACTCACTCACTCACACTCACTCACTCACACACTCAACCTCACTCTCACTTACTCACACTCACTCAGCCACATAGCCACACAGCCACACTCTCACACACTCACTCACGCTCACTCACTCTCACTCACTCACACTCACTCAGCCACACAGCCACACTCACTTACCCAAACTCACTCACCCACACTCATTCACTCACACTCACTCACACTCACTCACTCACACTCACTCACCCACCCACCCACACTCACACTCACTCACTCACTCACACACTCACACTCACTAACACACTCACCCACCCACACTCACTCACACTCACTCACTCACACACTCACTCTCACTCATTCACTCACACTCAGCCACATAGCCACACAGCCACACTCACATACTCACACTCACTCACTCACTCACACTCACTCACTCACCCACACTCACTCACACTTACACTCACTCACCCACACTTACTCACCCACACTTACTCACCCACACTCACTCACCCACACTCACTCACACTCACTCACACTCACTCACACTCACTCACTCACCCACACACTCACACAGCCATATAGCCACACACTCACTTACTCACCCACCCACACTCACTCACACTCACCCACACACTCACACAGCCACACAGCCACATAGCCACACACTCTCTCACCCACCCACCCACACTTACTCACACTCACCCACACACTCACACAGCCACACACACCCACACTCACTCACCCACCCACACTCACCCACACACTCACACAGCCACATAGCCACACACTCACTCACTCACCCACACACTCACACAGCCACATACTCACTCACTCACCCACCCACACTCACTCACTCACTCACCCACACACTCACACAGCCACACAGCCACACACTCACCCACACTCACCCATACCCACACAGCCACACACTCACCCACCCACCCACCCACACTCACCCACACACTCACACAGCCACATAGCCACACACTCACTCACTCACACTCACCCACACACTCACACAGCCACACACTCACTCACTCACCCACCCACACTCACTCACTCACTCACCCACACACTCACTCACACTCACCCACACACTCACACAGCCACACAGCCACACACTCACCCACACTCACCCATACCCACACAGCCACACACTCACCCACCCACCCACCCACACTCACCCACACACTCACACAGCCACATAGCCACACACTCACTCACTCACACTCACCCACACACTCACACAGCCACACACTCACTCACTCACCCACCCACACTCACTCACTCACTCACCCACACACTCACTCACACTCACCCACACACTCACACAGCCACACAGCCACACACTCACCCACACTCACCCATACCCACACAGCCACACACTCACCCACCCACCCACACTCACCCACACGCACCCACACTCACCCATACACACACACACTCACCCACCCACCCACCCACACTCACCCATACACACACACTCACACAGCCACCCAGCCAAACACACATCCACCCACCCACTCCCCACACAACCACACACTCGCCCACACAACCACACACTCGCCCACACAACCACACACTCACCCACACAACCACACACTCGTCCACACTCGCCTACACAGCCACACACTCATCCACTCACACAGCCACCCAAACTCAACCACACTCACCCACACAAACTCAACCACACTCACCCACACAAACTCAACCACACTCACCCACACAAACTCAACCACACTCACCCACACAAACGCAATCACACTCACCCACACAAAGACCCCCATTGTAGCCATAGCAGACTGTAGGGGCAAGTGCTGTTAGCGAGCTCCTATGAGGCCCGGCACGGCACGCGAGGGGGTGGGTGGCCAACACCACGCCCGGCCACCTTTGTCTCCCCAGTGGCGATGTTTACTACACACCACACCAGGTAATCATTTTAGGCTGAGTCGACCTAGGGGAGGCCCAGGATCGGTTCAGATAATCGTCACCGGTATTGGCCGTGAGCGGGAATCGAACCCGGGTCGCCGGGTTCATAGCTCAGCACGCTAACACCGCTACACCACCGCTCCCCACTATCGCTCTGTGCACAGAGACACGCAGACACGCACCCACACAAACACACAGACACGCACCCACACAAACACGCAGACACGCACCCACACAAGCACACAGACACGCACCCACACAAACACGCAGACACGCACCCACACAAACACACAGGCACGCACCCACACAAACACACAGACACTGACCCACACAAACACACAGACACGCACCCACACAAGCACACAGACACGCACCCACACAAGCACACAGACACGCACCCACACAAACACAGACACGCACCCACACAAACACACAGACACGCACACACACAAGCACACAGACACGCACCCACACAAGCACACAGACACGCACCCACACAAGCACACAGACACGCACCCACACAAACACGCAGACACGCACCCACACAAACACGCAGACACGCACCCACACAAACACACAGGCACGCACCCACACAAACACACAGACACTGACCCACACAAACACACAGACACGCACCCACACAAGCACACAGACACGCACCCACACAAGCACACAGACACGCACCCACACAAACACAGACACGCACCCACACAAACACACAGACACGCACCCACACAAGCACACAGACACGCACCCACACAAGCACACAGACACGCACCCACACAAGCACACAGACACGCACCCACACAAGCATATACACCTACCCCCCACCGCGTGTGCACGTGAGGGTCTCCTCGCCCAGCGCTGGTAGCGGAGAGGAGGTGAAGATTAGAGGGCAACCCGAATGTTTGCCCACACCGAATCATTTCAACCCTCCCTCCCTCCCTCCTCGTCGCACGCCCGAATTCCATCAGACACGTGGCGTGCCTCGGCTGGCTTGTGACGATGGCACCCGTCGGCTGAGCTGGCCGTGATTGTGTGTGTGTGTACACATGCCTGTGTGTGTGTACACATGCCTGTGTGTGTGTGTACACATGCCTGTGTGTGTGTGTACACATGCCTGTGAGTGTGTGTGTGTACACATGCCTGTGATTGTGTGTGTGTGTACACATGCCTGTGTGTGTGTGTGTACACATGCCTGTGTGTGTGTACACATGCCTGTGATTGTGTGTGTACACATGCCTGTGTGTGTGTGTGTACACATGCCTGTGTGTGTGTGTGTACACATGCCTGTGATTGTGTGTGTGTACACATGCCTGTGTGTGTGTGTACATGCCTGTGATTGTGTGTGTGTGTACACATGCCTGTGTGTGTACACACACACAGGCATGTGATTGTGTGTGTGTGTACACATGCCTGTGATTGTGTGTGTGTGTACACATGCCTGTGTGTGTACACATGCCTGTGATTGTGTGTGTGTGTACACATGCCTGTGTGTGTGTGTACACATGCCTGTGTGTGTGTGTGGGGGGGGGGGAGCGGTGGTGCAGCGGTTAGCGCTACGCTGCGCTACTTCCCGCTCACGGCCACCGACACCGGTGACCATTGTCCGAACCGGTCCTGGGGCCTCCCCTAGGTCAGCTCAGCCTCAAATGCGTTCCCGGCGCGGTGTGTGGTAAACATCGCCACTGGGGAGACAAAGGCGACCGGGCGTGGTGCTGGCCACCCACCCGCCCGCCCGCCCACTCGCGTGCCGTTCCAGCCTTCAAAGGTGCTCGCTAGCAGCGCTCGCCCCAATAATCTGGCAAGGCTACGCGGGGGACCTTTGCCTTTGTGCGTGTGCGTTGCAGGCAGCGCACGGTGCACCTGGAGACGCTGCGCGCCTGCGCGCAGGTGCGTGCCATGACCCCGCGTGAGAGGATGCGGATCCGCAAGCTCCAGACAGCCGACCTCCACGCAAGAAAACTCCAGTGAGGAACAAAGACGAAGATCGTCCCCCCCCCCACCACCACCACCACCACCCCCCCCACCCCGCGTGGCCCGTAACCACGTGGCGGGCCACGCCCCGGCCGCCTTTGTCTCCCCAGTACCTGGTGTTCGCACAGCGCCACTGGGTGCTCATTTCAGGCCGAGTCTACCTAGGCGACACCCATGAGCGGTTTCAGATGCTCGTTATCGATTGTTCGCCGGCTTCGTAAGGCAGCGCGTTGACGGACAGGGTTATTTATTTCGGTTTAATTTATTTTGGTGCAGCCCTGTGAGCCATTCGGCTCTTGAATCGGGTGCAACCACAACAACACAATAAAAACAACAACAACACATCTTAAAGTGACGATGTGTGTGACCGTGCAAAAACAGAATATCCATGGAAAAAAAAAAACACCGCAGCAAAATATTCCTGTAAAAAAAATCACCGTGTACACCGCCAACGCTGCGTGCAACAACAAAAAAAATCCCAGTGGGATGCAAAGTCAAACAACAACAACAACAACCACGAGACAAAACTTAGATTGAGGCCATCAGTCTAACAAAGACAAATATTCCTCCCCCGTGTAGCCTTAACAGACTATCGGGGCAAGTGCCGTTAGCGAGCAGCACCTATGCCGGCACGGCACGGCACGCGAGGGAGTTTGTGCGGCTAGCAGCACGCCCGGCCGCCTTTGTCTCCCCAGTAGCGATGTTCACCACGCGCCGCACCAGGTACTCAATGTTGACCTTGAGCAGGAATCGAATTGGGGTCACCGGGTTCATAGCCCAGTGCGCTAACCGCTACACCACCGCTGCCCACCACAGGCACACAAAACACGATTAGCACGGGTGGCCACACGTGGTGCGAAACAAGTTCATCGTGCGCACATAAAGACTTGTGGACTCACGCAGAAACCCACAGACTCATCGCGCAGAGACCCGTGGACTCGCACGCTGCATCGCGCGCTTTCAGATGCGCTTCTGCGGCCGTCTGGAACGCTCTTCCGGCCCATGTTGGGAAGCTACTGGGAGCTGTGCACTGTTATCCGAAGCCGTCCTGGGCCTCCCCTAGGCCGACTCAGCCTCAAATGAGCGCCTGGTGCGGTGCGTAGTAAACATCGCGACTGGGGAGACAAAGGCGGCCGGGCGTGGCGCTGGCCACCCGCCCCCTCGTGTGCCGCAGTGCCGGTAGGCTTCATAGGTGGTGCTGCTCGCGAACGCAACTTGCCCCCGACAGTCTGCTAAGGCTACACGGGGGACCTTTGTCTCTGTGTGTCTCTGTGTGTGTGTGTCTCTGTGTGTCTCTGTGTGTGTCTCTGTGTGTGTGTCTCTATGTGTCTCTGTGTGTGTCTCTGTGTGTGTGTCTCTGTGTGTGTGTCTCTGTGTGTCTCTGTGTGTGTGTCTCTGTGTGTCTCTGTGTGTGTGTCTCTGTGTGTCTCTGTATGTGTGTCTCTGTGTCTCTGTGTGTCTCTGTGTCTCTGTGTGTCTCTGTGTCTCTGTGTGTCTCTGTGTGTCTCTGTGTGTGTGTCTCTGTGTGTCTCTGTGTGTCTCTGTGTGTGTGTCTCTGTGTGTCTCTGTGTGTCTCTGTGTGTGTGTCTCTGTGTGTCTCTGTGTGTGTGTCTCTGTGTGTCTCTATGTGTCTCTGTGTGTGTGTCTCTGTGTGTGTGTCTCTGTGTGTCTCTGTGTGTATGTCTCTGTGTGTCTCTGTGTGTGTGTCTCTATGTGTCTCTATGTGTCTCTGTGTGTGTGTCTCTGTGTGTCTCTGTGTGTCCAGGGAGGTGGCTGAGGATCACCGACTCAACAACCTGCGGCAGAGAAACAACAACCGCATGCGCAACACGGCCAACCACTTGAGAGCGCTCATGGTGGGGGGCACAATCACACACGCAAAAAAAGACAAAGATCCCCCGTATAGCCTTGACAGACTGTAGGGGCAAGTGCCGTTAGCGAGCACCTATGATGTGCGGGAACGGTACACGAGGGGGTGGGTGGCCAGGACCACGCCCGGCCGCCTTTGTCTCCCCAGTGGCGATGTTTACTACACACCGCACCAGGTGCTCATTTGAGGCTGAGTCGATCTAGGGGAGGAGGCCCAGAACCGGTTCAGATAATCGTCACCAGTGTTGGCCGTGAGCGAGAATCGAATTCGGGTGGCCGGGTTCATAGCCACCACTCCCCAGACACACACACCTACCCAAAGACAAAGATCCCCCGTATAGCCTTAACAGACTGTTGGGACAAGTGCTGTTAGCGAGCACCTATGAAGGCCGGGGCGGCAAACGAGTGAGTGGGTGGCCAACACCACGCCCGGACACACACACGCACTCGCACACACAGGCACACACGCACACACAGACACACACAGACACACACAGACACACACAGGCACGCACACACACACAGGCACGCACAGGCACGCACGCACACACAGGCACGCACACACAGTCACGCACAGGCACACACAGGCACACGCACGCACACACAGACACACACAGGCACACGCACACACAGACACACACAGGCACGCACGCACACACAGACACACGCACGCACACACACAGGCACGCACGCACACACAGGCACACACAGGCACGCACGCACACACAGGCACGCACGCACACACAGACACACACAGGCACGCACGCACACACAGACACGTGGACTCACAATCCAGGTGACGTCACCTCGCCCGTCTCTCTCCCCCTCCAGAACATCGACGAAGCCGCGACGGCGGAGGAGGAGGAGTTAGAATCGCTCCGGCGCTCAGACAGGAGGAGCGCCGGGACGGAGGGACACGTGGGCCCTGGGATGGAGGGACACGTGGGCCCTGGGATGGAGGGACACGTGGGCCCTGGGATGGAGGGACACGTGGCCCCCGGGGCCGGCGGGAACTCGGGCCTGGCCGTGCGTGACGGACAGGGCTACGGTGAGAGGCTGGTGGCGGGGACATCGCTGCCACCCCCCCCCCCCATCTCTGCCCCCCCCCGTGCCAGTGGGGAAAGATACAATCGGCTCAAATATATCGCGGGCCGAATTGCAATCCTGGAGCGATGATTGTACTGAGTGGGTGAATTCATCTCTGCTGTCCCTGTATTAGCTGTACCTCTAACACCGATGGGACTGTGTCCAGATCTTTCATGGCTCTGTGAACTCCTCACACAATCCAGCCTGGTCAAAGCCAGGACGGATCGAGGGCAGGCCAGCGGGAGATGTTCCATTAGAGGGGACCACGTTTCACAAGCTGAGAGAAGGGGACGCTCTCACACTCTCTCACACTCTCTAGAGCCACTCTCTCTCACACTCTCTAACATTCTCTAGAGCCACACTCTCTCACACTCTCTCACACTCTCTAGAACAGTGGTTCTTAACCTGGGTTCGATCGAACCCCAGGGGTTCGGTGAGTCGATCTCAGGGGTTCGGCAGAGCCCCCGCCACGGAGGTCCGGACACACTTGAATTATTGTGTAAATTTGTGATGACACACACGGCCCGCTTGGCCATCACTGGCTGCAGATGATCATGCTACACTGCTTGGCCAATCAGCGCTGCGGGGAATTTAGTGCGTACTCAGTAGTCAACGTGTGACTGTTGTTGTCGTACGTCGTGTGATTTCTTTAATATTTTATCCATACTAACTATGTCGGGCAAAAGAAGAAAGTGGTCGGACGAATATGTACAACATGGATTCTCATGTATCACGGAACGTGATGGGAGTGAGCGTCCTATCTGCATGATTTGCAACGCCAAGTTGAGCAACTCTAGTCTTGCACCGGCAAAACTAAAGGAACACTTCTTGAAGCTGCATGGAGACGGGGAATACAAGAACACAACACTTGCTGAATTCAGGGTGAAGAGAGCCAGATTCGATGAAAGGGCCACTCTGCCTGCTCTTGGATTTGTACCTGTTAACAAACCGATCCTGACAGCATCGTACGAAGTTGCTTACCTGATCGCAAAGCAGGGCAAGCCACACACCATTGGTGAAACACTTGTGAAACCAGCTGCATTAAAGATGGCGAATCTGATACTCGGAACAGCGGCCGAAGGTAAATTATCCCAAATTCCCCTTTCAAATGACACCGTCAGTGACAGAATAGAAGACATGAGTAAAGACATCTTGGCTCAAGTAGTCGCGGATCTGATTTCAAGCCCGGCAAAATTCAGCCTTCAACTCGACGAAACCACAGACGTTTCTGATCTAAGCCAGCTTGCTGTTTTTGTACGCTATGTGAAAGACGACATGATAAAAGAAGAGTTTTTATTTTGTAAGCCTCTTACAACAACAACGAAGGCAGCCGATGTGAAGAAGCTTGTGGATGACTTCTTCAGAGACAACAATCTTTCATGGGATATGGTTTCTGCAGTTTGTACGGACGGAGCTCCAGTCATGCTGGGAAGAAAGTCTGGTTTTGGTGCGCTAGTAAAGGCCGATGCACCACACATCATTGTGACGCATTGTATTCTGCACAGGCATGCGTTGGCAACAAAAACCTTACCTCCAAAAATGGCAGAAGTATTAAAAACTGTGGTGGAATGTGTGAACTATGTGCGAAAAAGTGCTCTGAGGCACCGCATCTTCAGTGAGCTGTGTAAAGAAATGGGCTCTGAATTTGAGGTACTTCTGCTCCATTCTAATATTCGGTGGTTATCCCGGGGACAGGTGCTGAATCGTGTTTTTGCCATGCGTGTGGAATTAGCCCTGTTTTTGCAAGAGCACCAACACTGCCGTGCAGATTGCTTCAAAAATCCTGAGTTCATTCTCATTTTAGCGTACATGGCTGATATATTCGCAGCTCTCAATCATCTCAATCAGCAGATGCAGGGTGGTGGAGTCAATATCATGGAAGCGGAAGAACACCTGAAGGCTTTTCAAAAAAAGCTACCGTTATGGAAACGACGAACAGAGAACAATAACTTCGCAAACTTCCCGCTTCTGGACGACTGTGCAAGTAAGATCGAAGATGTGTCTGGAATCGGAGATATTTCTGTATCCACGGAACTGAAGCAAACAATTGCCACGCACTTAGATGAGCTTGCAAAGTCTCTCGACGGATATTTCCCTACAAGAGAGTCATATCCAGCATGGGTGAGACAGCCGTTCACGTTTGCTGTTGAAACAGCAGATGTCAATGATGAATTCCTCGACGAAATCATTGAAATTCAGCAGAGCCAGGTTCAACAGCAACTCTTCAGAACAACAACGCTCTCAACGTTTTGGTGTCGACAAATGAACAAGTATCCAGTTATTGCTAAGAAAGCCCTGGATTTTTTTATACCATTTGTTACAACATATCTTTGTGAGCAATCCTTTTCGAGGATGCTGGACATAAAAACGAAGAAAAGGAACAGACTTTGCTGTGAAAATGACATGAGAGTGGCACTTGCCAAGGTGAAGCCACGCATATCTGAACTGATCTCTCAAAGGCAACAGCAGAAGTCACATTGATTTCCAGGTATGTAATTTGTTGTGAGTTTATGCATTGTGTTGGTTTTATTCTTTGAACAAGGTAATGTTCATGCACGGCTCATTTTGTGTACCAGTAAAAAACATATCTATGTCTTGAATTTGAAAAAAATCACATTTTATTTTTCACTAAAGAGGGGTTCGGTGAATGCGCATATGAAACTGGTGGGGTTCGGTACCTCCAACAAGGTTAAGAACCACTGCTCTAGAACAACATTCACACTCTCTCACACTCTCTACAGCAACTCTCTCACACTCTCTCACTCTCTCTCACACTCTCTAGAGCCACACTCTCTCACACTCTCTCACACTCTCTACAGCAACACTCTCACACTCTCTCACACTCTCTAGAGCAACACTCCACACTCTCTCACACTCTCTACAGCAACACTCTATCACACTCTCTCACACTCTCTCACACTCTATACGGCAACACTCTCACACTCTCTAGAGCAACACTCTCTCACACTCTCTAGAGCCACACTCTATCATACTCTCTCACACTCTCTCACACTCTCTACAGCAACACTCTCTCACACGCTCTCACACTCTCTAGAGCCACACTCTCTCACACTCTCTAGAGCCACACTCTCTAGAACACCACTCTCTCACACTCTCTCACACTCTCTAGAACAACACTCTCTCACACTCTCTCACACTCTCTACAGCAACACTCTCTCACACTCTCTCACACTCTCTACGGCAACACTCTCACACTCTCTAGAGCAACACTCTCTCACACTTTCTAGAGCAACACTCTCTACAGCAACACTCTCTCACACTCTCTCACACTCTCTAGAGCCACACTCTATCATACTCTCTCACACTCTCTCACACTCTCTACAGCAACACTCTCTCACACGCTCTCACACTCTCTAGAGCCACACTCTCTCACACTCTCTAGAGCCACACTCTCACACTCTCTAGAACACCACTCTCTCACACTCTCTCACACTCTCTAGAACAACACTCTCTCACACTCTCTCACACTCTCTACAGCAACACTCTCTCACACTCTCTCACACTCTCTACGGCAACACTCTCTCACACTCTCTAGAGCAACACTCTCTCACACTCTCTCACACTCTCTACAGCAACACTCTCTCACACTCTCTCACACTCTCTACGGCAACACTCTCTCACACTCTCTAGAGCAACACTCTCTCACACTCTCTCACACTCTCTAGAACAACACTCTCTCACACTCTCTCACACTCTCTACAGCAACACTCTCTCACACTCTCTCACACTCTCTACGGCAACACTCTCTCACACTCTCTAGAGCAACACTCTCTCACACTCTCTAGAGCAACACTCTCTACAGCAACACTCTCTCACACTCTCTAGAGCCACACTCTCTCACACTCTGCCACACTCTCTCACACTCTCTAGAACAACACTCTCTCACACTCTCTCACACTCTCTACAGCAACACTCTCTCACACTCTCTCACACTCTCTACGGCAACACTCTCTCACACTCTCTAGAGCAACACTCTCTCACACTCTCTAGAGCAACACTCTCTACAGCAACACTCTCTCACACTCTCTAGAGCCACACTCTCTCACACTCTGCCACACTCTCGCACACTCTCTAGAACAACACTCTCTCACACTCTCTCACAGAACTCTCCGGCCATGCCCCCTCCCCCCGTGTTCTCAGATTAAATCAATTTCCATGCAAATCCGCCTCCCATCACACACGCGCCTCGCCACGACCCCTCAGCAAACATTCACCACCACCCTCCCCCCCCCAGCATCAACACACACGGCTTACCACCCCCTCGCAGTGTCTCCCTGTCTCACCGTGTCTCACCGTGTCTCCCTGTCTTACCGTGTCTCACCGTGTCTCCTGTCTCACCGTGTCTCCTGTCTCACCGTGTCTCACCGTGTCTCCCTGTCTCACCGTGTCTCACCGTGTCTCCCTGTCTCACCGTGTCTCACCGTGTCTCACCGTGTCTCCCTGTCTCACCGTGTCTCCTGTCTCCTGTCTCACCGTGTCTCACCGTGTCTCCTTGTCTCACCGTGTCTCCTGTCTCACCGTGTCTCACCGTGTCTCCTGTCTCACCGTGTCTCACCGTGTCTCCTTGTCTCACCGTGTCTCCCTGTCTCACCGTGTCTCCCTGTCTCACCGTGTCTCACCGTGTCTCACCGTGTCTCCCTGTCTCACCGTGTCTCACCGTGTCTCCCTGTCTCACCGTGTCTCACCGTGTCTCCTTGTCTCACCGTGTCTCACTGTGTCTCCTGTCTCACCGTGTCTCCTGTCTCACCGTGTCTCCCTGTCTCACCGTGTCTCACCGTGTCTCCCTGTCTCACCGTGTCTCACTGTGTCTCCTGTCTCACCGTGTCTCACTGTGTCTCCTTGTCTCACCGTGTCTCACCGTGTCTCACCGTGTCTCCCTGTCTCACCGTGTCTCACTGTGTCTCCTGTCTCACCGTGTCTCCCTGTCTCACCGTGTCTCACCGTGTCTCACCGTGTCTCCTTGTCTCACCGTGTCTCACCGTGTCTCCCTGTCTCACCGTGTCTCACTGTGTCTCCTGTCTCACCGTGTCTCACTGTGTCTCCTTGTCTCACCGTGTCTCACCGTGTCTCACCGTGTCTCCCTGTCTCACCGTGTCTCACTGTGTCTCCTGTCTCACCGTGTCTCCCTGTCTCACCGTGTCTCACCGTGTCTCACCGTGTCTCCTTGTCTCACCGTGTCTCACCGTGTCTCCCTGTCTCACCGTGTCTCACCGTGTCTCACCGTGTCTCACCGTGTCTCCCTGTCTCACCGTGTCTCACCGTGTCTCCCTGTCTCACCGTGTCTCACCGTGTCTCCCTGTCTCACCGTGTCTCACTGTGTCTCCTGTCTCACCGTGTCTCCTGTCTCACCGTGTCTCCCTGTCTCACCGTGTCTCACCGTGTCTCCCTGTCTCACCGTGTCTCACCGTGTCTCCCTGTCTCACCGTGTCTCACCGTGTCTCCTTGTCTCACCGTGTCTCACCGTGTCCCATCGTGTCTCACCGTGTCTCACCGTGTCTCCCTGTCTCACCGTGTCTCACCGTGTCTCCCTGTCTCACCGTGTCTCAACGAGTCCCATCGTGTCTCCCTGTCTCACCGTATCTCCCTGTCTCACCGTGTCTCACCGTGTCTCCCTGTCTCACCGTGTCTCACCGTGTTTCCCTGTCTCACCGTGTCTAACCGTGTCTCCTTGTCTCACCGTGTCTCACCGTGTCTCCTATCTCACCGTGTCTCACCGTGTCTCCCTGTCTCACCGTGTCTCACCGTGTCCTATCGTGTCTCCCTGTCTCACCGTGTCCCACCGTGTCTCACCGTGTCCCATCGTGTCTCCCCTGTCTGTCTATCTCTCTCTATGTCGCCGTGTCTGTGTGTGTGTGTGTCCCCGTGTCTCCCTGTCTCTGTGTGTGTGTGTGTGCCCGTGTCTCCCTGTCTCTCTCTCCCGTGTCTCCCTGTGTCTGTGTCTGTGTGTGTCCCCGTGTCTCCCGTGTCTCCCTGTGTCTGTGTGTGTCCCTGTGTCTCCCTGTGTCTCTCTCTGTGTCCCCGTGTCTCCCTGTCTCTCTCTCCCGTGTCTCCCTGTATCTCTGTGTGTCGCCGTGTCTCACTGTGTCTGTGTGTGTGTCCCCGTGTCTCCCTGTCTCTCTCTCCCGTGTCTCCCTGTGTCTCTGTGTGTGTCCCCGTGTCTCCCTGTGTCTCTCTCTCTGTGTCCCCGTGTCTCCCTGTGTCTCCTTGTGTCTCTGTGTGTGTCCGCGTCTCTCCCTGTATCTTTCTCTCTGTGTCCCCGTATCTCCCTGTGTCTCTGTGTGTGTGTCCCCGTGTCTCCCTGTGTCTCTGTGTGTGTCCCCGTATCTCCCTGTATCTTTCTTTCTGTGTCCCCCTGTGTCTCTGTGTGTGTCCCCGTGTCTCCCTGTGTCTCTGTGTGTGTCCCCGTGTTTATCTGTGTCTCTGTGTGTGTCCCCGTGTCTCCCTGTGTCTGTGTGTGTCCCCGTGTCTCCCTGTCTATCTGTGTCCCCGTCTGTGTCTGTGTGTGTGTGTCCCCGTCTCTCCCTGTGTCTGTGTGTGTGTCCGTCTCTCCATGTATCTCTCTCTCTGTGTCCCCGTGTCTCCCTGTGTCTCTGTGTGTGTCCCCGTGTCTCCTTGTCTATCTGTGTCCCCGTGTCTCCCTGTGTCTCTGTGTGTTTCCCCGTGTCTCCCTGTGTCCGTGTGTGTGTCCCCGTGTCTCCCTGTCTCTCTGTCTGTGTCCCCGTGTATCCCTGTGTCTCTGTGTGTGTGTCCCCCGTGTCTCACCCATCCCCGTGTCTCTCTATATAAATGCATCTCCCGTGTTTCACCGTCAACCCGGTAGCTTGCCACGTCCCCTTGCCTCTCCAGGTGCTCGTAGATCGCCATGTCTCCCCACGTCCACCCTTTCCCTGTCTCTCTGTGTCACCGCTTCCCCCGTGTCTCACCGTGTCCCCCGCGTCTCACCGTGTCCCCCGTGTCTCACCGTGTCCCCCGTGTCTCACCGTGTCCCCCGCGTCTCACCGTGTCCCCCGCGTCTCACCGTGTCCCCCGCGTCTCACCGCGTCCCCCGTGTCTCACCGTGTCCCCCGTGTCTCACCGTGTCTCCGCACGTGTCCCGCCCATACTCGTGTCTCCGCAGAGATCCCGGATGATCCGGCCCTGGCTGAGATTCTGTACGAGGACGACTTCGAAGTGGACAGTGAGGACAGCACCAGCACGGACGACGACGATGATGATGAGTCCACCACAAACGTACGCTGAGCCAGCGACACTCTCACAGTGACACTCTCAGTGACACTCACAGTGACACTCACAGTGACACTCTCACTCACAGTGACACTCTCACTAATAGTGACACTCACAGTGACACTCTCACTCTCAGTGACACTCACAGTGACACTCACAGTGACACTCTCACTCACAGTGACACTCTCACTCCCAGTGACACTCACAGTGACACTCACAGTGACACTCTCACTCACAGTGACACTCACAGTGACACTCACAGTGACACTCTCACTCACAGTGACACTCTCACTCACAGTGACACTCACAGTGACACTCTCAGTGACACTCTCACTCACAGTGACACTCACAGTGACACTCACAGTGACACTCTCACTCACAGTGACACTCTCACTCACAGTGACACTCACAGTGACACTCACAGTGACACTCACAGTGACACTCTCACTCACAGTGACACTCACAGTGACACTCACAGTGACACTCTCACTCACAGTGACACTCACAGTGACACTCACAGTGACACTCTCACTCACAGTGACACTCTCACTCACAGTGACACTCACAGTGACACTCACAGTGACACTCTCACTCACAGTGACACTCTCACTCACAGTGACACTCACAGTGACACTCTCAGTGACACTCTCACTCACAGTGACACTCACAGTGACACTCTCACTCACAGTGACACTCACAGTGACACTCTCACTCACAGTGACACTCTCACTCACAGTGACACTCTCACTCACAGTGACACTCTCACTCACAGTGACACTCACAGTGACACTCTCACTCACAGTGACACTCTCACTCACAGTGACCATCTCACTGACAGTGACACTCTCACTCACAGTGACACTCACAGTGACACTCTCACTCACAGTGACACTCTCACTCACAGTGACACTCTCACAGTGACACTCACAGTGACACTCACAGTGACACTCTCACTCAGTGACACTCTCACTCACAGTGACACTCACAGTGACACTCACAGTGACACTCACAGTGACACTCTCACTCAGTGACACTCTCACTCACAGTGACACTCACAGTGACACTCTCACTCACAGTGACACTCTCACTCACAGTGACACTCTCACTCACAGTTACACTCTCACTCACAGCGACACTCTCACTCACACAGCGACAAACACACCAACGTACCAACTCCCGTATGGGTGTCAATGCACGTGTCACTGTGTGTGGCACCCACGATCCATCCTGGGTTTAACCAGCAGGCTGGATTGTGTGAGGAGCTCACAAATCCTTGAAAGATCTGGACACATTCCCATCGGTGAGCTCCTCCGGCAGGCGAGGCTGCGATGGCTGGGTCATGTAGCCCGCATGCCCAGCCACCGCATGCCGAAACAGCTTTTGTTCGGCCGGATTGAGGAGTGATGTGGTACAGGAGGACGTGGAGCTGAGTGGACTTGCCGATGAGCGGTACCAGCGGTGTCAAGATCGGCCTCTGTGGAGGAGGCTCGTGAAGGACGCTGCTACTGGGCAGTTGGAGGCAGTCGCCCTCCAGCAACAACGGAGGGCGGAGCAGCGACGCTCACAACAACGAGCGGAGTCGCCGGGCGGCTAAAATGCAGCAATTTGGCACAGCAGGGGGCACAGGTGTTGGTGGTGCATCTAGCGGTCATCTCAGTCAGCCAACCCATGCCACATGCTGGGTCTGTCCCGAGACCTGCAGTCAGCGAGCCTTCGACACTTCACGTGGCCTCAAGGTGCACCTGGCCTGGCACAAGCGCCGTGGCTTGATTCCCGCTCATGGCCACCAACACCAGTGACCATTACCTGAGCCGGTCCTGGGCGTCCCCTAGGTCGACTCAGCCTCAAATGAGTAACCTGATGCGGTGTGTAGTAAACACCGCCGCTGTGGAGACAAAGGCGGCCGGGCGTGTGCCGTGCCGGCCTTCACAGGTGCTGCTCGCCAACAGCACTTGCCCCAACAGTCTGTTAAGGCTACACGGGGGATCTTTGTCTCGTGTCGCCGCGCGTTCCAACGCGCACGTCACCGCACGCGTCACTGTGTCTGTCACCGTGTCTGTCACCGTGTCACCGTGTGTGTCACTGTGTGTGTGTCACTGTGTGTGTCACCGTGTGTGTGTCACTGTGTGTATCACTGTGTGTGTCACTGTGTGTGTCACCGTGTCACCGTGTGTGTCACTGTGTGTGTCACTGTGTCTGTCACCGTGTCACTGTGTGTGTCACTGTGTGTGTCACTGTGTGTGTCACCGTGTCACCGTGTGTGTCACTGTGTGTGTCATTGTGTCTGTCACCGTGTCACTGTGTGTGTCACTGTGTGTGTCACTGTGTGTGTCACTGTGTGTGTCACCGTGTCACCGTGTGTGTCACTGTGTGTGTCACTGTGTCTGTCACCGTGTCACTGTGTGTGTCACTGTGTGTGTCACTGTGTCTGTCACCGTGTCTGTCACTGTGTGTGTCACTGTGTGTGTCACAGTGTGTGTCACCGTGTGTGTGTCACTGTGTGTGTCACTGTGTGTGTCACCGTGTCTGTCACCGTGTCTGTCACCGTGTGTGTCACTGTGTGTCACTGTGTGTGTCACTGTGTGTGTCACTGTGTCTGTCACCGTGTGTGTCACTGTGTGTGTCACTGTGTGTGTCACTGTGTGTGTCACCGCACGCGTCATTGTGTCTGTCACTGTGTCTGTCACCGTGTCTGTTACTGTGTGTGTCACTGTGTGTGTCACTGTGTGTGTCACTGTGTGTGTCACTGTGTGTGTCACCGTGTGTGTCACCGTGTCACTGTGTGTGTCACCGTGTGTGTCACCGTGTCACTGTCTGTGTCACTGTGTGTGTCACCGTGTGTGTCACTGTGTGTGTCACCGTGTGTGTCACCGTGTCACTGTGTGTGTCACTGTGTGTGTCACCGTGTGTGTGTCACCGTGTCACTGTGTGTGTCACTGTGTCTGTCACCGTGTGTGTCACTGTGTGTGTCACTGTGTGTGTCACTGTGTGTGTCACCGTGTCACTGTGTGTGTCACTGTGTGTGTCACTGTGTCTGTCACCGTGTCTGTCACTGTGTGTGTGTCACTGTGTGTGTCACAGTGTGTGTCACTGTGTGTGTCACTGTGTGTGTCACTGTGTCTGTCACCGTGTCTGTCACCGTGTGTGTCACTGTGTGTGTCACTGTGTCTGTCACCGTGTCTGTCACCGTGTGTGTCACTGTGTGTGTCACTGTGTGTGTCACCGCACGCGTTATTGTGTCTGTCACTGTGTCTGTCACCGTGTCTGTTACTGTGTGTGTCACTGTGTGTCACTGTGTGTGTCACTGTGTGTGTCACTGTGTGTGTCACCGCACGCGTCATTGTGTCTGTCACTGTGTGTGTCACCGTGTCTGTTACTGTGTGTGTCACTGTGTGTCACTGTGTGTGTCACCGTGTCTGTCACTGTGTGTCACCGTGTGTCTGTCACTGTGTGTGTCACCGTGTCTGTCACCGTGCGTATCACTGTGTGTGTCACTGTGTCACTGTGTGTGTCACTGTGTCACTGTGTGTGTCACTGTGTGTGTCACTGTGTGTCACTGTGTGTCACTGTGTCTGTCACTGTGTGTCACCGTGTGTCTGTCACTGTGTGTGTCACCGTGTCTGTCACCGTGCGTATCACTGTGTGTGTCACCGCGTGTGTCACCGTGTGTGTCACCGCGTGTGTCACTGTGTGTGTCACTGTGTGTCACCGTGTGTGTCACTGTGTGTGTCACCGTGTGTGTCACCGTGTCACCGTGTGTGTCACCGTGTGTCACCGCGTGTGTCACTGTGTGTGTCACTGTGTGTCACCGTGTCTGTCACTGTGTGCGTCACCGTGTGTGTCACTGTGTGTGTCACCGTGTGTGTCACCGTGTCACCGTGTGTGTCACCGTGTGCGTCACCGTGTGTGTCACCGTGTGTCACCGTGTGTGTCACCGTGTGTGTGTCGCTGTGTGTATCACTGTGTGTGTCACCGTGTCTGTCACTGTGTGTCACCGTGTGTCTGTCACTGTGTGCGTCACCGTGTGTGTCACCGTGTCACCGTGTGTGTCACTGTGTCACCGTGTGTGTCACCATGTGTGTCACTGTGTGTCACCGTGTGTGTCACCGTGTGTGTGTCACTGTGTGTGTCACCGTGTGTGTCACTGTGTGTGTCACCGTGTCACTGTGTGTGTCACTGTGTGTGTCACCGTGTGTGTCACTGTGTGTGTCACCGTGTGTGTCACCGTGTGTGTCACTGTGCGTGTCACTGTGTGTGTGTCACCGTGTCACCGTGTGTGTCACCGTGTGTGTCACCGTGTGTGTCACTGTGTGTATCACTGTGTGTGTCACTGTGTGTGTCACTGTGTCTGTCACTGTGTGTGTCACTGTGTGTGTCACCGTGTGTGTCACCGCGTGTGTCACTGTGTGTGTCACTGTGTGTGTCACTGTGTGTGTCACCGTGTCACCATGTGTGTCACTGTGTGTGTCACTGTGTGTGTCACCGTGTGTGTCACTGTGTGTATCACCGTGTGTATCACTGTGTGTGTCACTGTGTGTGTCACTGTGTGTGTCACTGTGTGTATCACCGTGTGTATCACTGTGTGTGTCACTGTGTGTTACTGTGTGTGTGTCACTGTGTGTATCACCGTGTGTGTCACTGTGTGTGTCACTGTGTCTGTCACTGTGTGTGTCACTGTGTGTGTCACCGTGTGTGTCACCGCGTGTGTCACTGTGTGTGTCACCGTGTCACCGTGTGTGTCCCCGTGTGTGTCACCGTGTGTGTCCCCGTGTGTATCACCGTGTGTGTCACTGTGTGTGTCACTGTGTCTGTCACTGTGTGTGTCACTGTGTGTGTCACCGTGTGTGTCACCGCGTGTGTCACTGTGTGTGTCACCGTGTCACCGTGTGTGTCACCGTGTCACTGTGTGTGTCACTGTGTGTGTCACTGTGTGTGTCACAGTGTCACCGTGTGTGTCACCGTGTGTGTCACTGTGTGTCACCGTGTCTGTCACTGTGTGTATCACCGTGTCACTGTGTGTGTCACCGTGTGTGTCACTGTGTGTATCACCGTGTGTGTCACCGTGTGTGTCACCGTGTCACTGTGTGTGTCACCGTGTCACCGTGTGTGTCACCGTGTCACCGTGTGTGTCACCGTGTCACCGTGTGTGTCCCCGTGTGTGTCACCGTGTCACAGGACAGTGACGTGAGGGATCTGCTCCGGTGCTTTCACGCCGTGGTGAACTCGGCGGGCGACGGGGGCGGCTCCCACCGGTAGAAGCGGCCCGGTGGGCATCGTGGGGGGTCTCGTGAGGTCACGTGCGTGGACACACCACCACCATCACCGTCACCACTGTCACCGTCACCACCATCACCACCACCATCACCATCACCACCGTCACCACCGTCACCACCGTCACCGTCACCACCGTCACCACCGTCACCACCGTCACCACCGTCACCGTCACCACCGTCACCACCGTCACCGTCACCACCGCCACCACCGTCACCACCGTCACCACCGTCATCGCCGTCACCACCGTCACCGCCGTCACCGTCACCGTCACCACCGTCACCACCGTCACCACCACCACCGTCACCGCCGTCACCACCGTCACCACCACCACCGTCACCGCCGTCACCACCGTCACCACCGTCACCATCAGCACCGTCGCCGTCACCACCGCCGCTACCACCGCCACCGTCGCCACCACTGCCGTCACCACCGTCACCACCGCCGCTACCATCGCCACTATCGCTGTCGCCGTCACCACCGTCATCACCACCACCACCGTCATCACCGTCAACACCACCACCGCCGTCACCACCACCGCCACAGTCACCACCACCGCCACAGTCACCACCGCCGTCACCACCACTGCCGTCACCACCACCACCACCACCACAGTCACCACCGCCGTCACCACCGCCGTCACCACCACCGCCGCCGCCGTGGCAGGCAACGTCAGAGCCAACCGTGCGCGGTGAAGAGAGAAGTGGCCGTGGCCGCCTGGCCCAAGGGCGGCTGACGAAGGGTGGAAATTAAACCGACCGGCATCAACCGCCACCAGCCAGCAGCAGCTGGCACAACGACGCGAATGCCGTCCGGCGGACGAGCAGCGACTCTTGGCCGCGGTGTGGCTGGGCCTCTCATCCCACCGGCGTGCAGGGGAGATGCTGCTGCTGCTGCCGCCGCTGCTGCTGCTGCTGTTGATGCTTCTGCTGCTGCTGATGATCGCTGTGCTCCACGGTCGTCATCGTTCGTGATGGGCAGCCGAAGATATTTTACTAAATACACATGCGTGTTTATTCATGGGTCTCTGTGTGAGGCTATGGGTCTCTGTGTGAGGCTATGGGTCTCTGTGCGAGTCTGGGTCTCTGTGTGAGTCTATGGATCTCTGTGCGAGTCTGTGGGTCTCTGTGTGAGTCTATGGGTCTCTGTGTGAGTCTATGGGTCTCTGTGCGAGTCTATGGATCTCTGTGCGAGTCTATGGGTCTCTGTGTGAGTCTATGGGTCTCTGTGTGAGTCTATGGGTCTCTGTGTGAGTCTATGGGTCTCTGTGTGAGTTTATTGTTCTCTGTGTGAGTCTATGGGTCTCTGTGTGAGTCTATGGGTCTCTGTGTGAGTCTATGGGTCTCTGTGTGAGTCTATGGGTCTCTGTGTGAGTCTATGGGTCTCTGTGTGAGTCTATGGATCTCTGTGCGAGTCTGTGGGTCTCTGTGCGAGTCTATGTATGTATGTTGAACTTCTTTCGCACCGTACGTTGCCAACCGTGCTTCTGACACCTCAGACCCTAACTCACGCCCCACCCAGACCCGACTCGACTCACACAGAGACTCGTAGGCACACACATAGACACCCATAGACTCACACAGACACCCATAGCCTCACACAAAGACCCATAGCCTCACACAGAGGCCCATAGCCTCACACAGAGACACATAGCCTCACACAAAGACCCATAGCCTCACACAGAGACACATAGCCTCACACAAAGACCCATAGCCTCACACAGAGACCCATATCCTCACACAGAGACCCCTAGCCTCACACAGAGACCCATAGCCTCACACGGAGACCCATAGCCTCACACAGAGACCCATAGACTCACACAGAGACCCATAGCCTCACACAGAGACCCATAGACTCACACAGAGACCCATAGCCTCACACAGAGACCCATAGACTCACACAGACCCATAGCCTCACACAGAGACCCATAGACTCACACAGAGACCCATAGCCTCACACAGAGACCCATAGACTCCCACAGAGACCCATACACTCACACAGAGACCCATTGACTCACACAGAGACCAATAGCCTCGCACAGAGACCCATAGCCTCACACAGAGACCCATAGACTCACACAGACCCATAGCCTCACACAGATACCCATAGCCTCGCACAAAGACCCATAGCCTCACACAGAGACCCATAGACTCACACTGACCCATAGCATCACACAAAGACCCATAGCCTCACACAGAGACCTATAGACTCACACAGAGACCCATAGATTCACACAGAGAGCCATAGCCTCACACAGAGACCCATAGCCTCACACAGAGACCCACAGCCTCACACAGAGACCATAGACTCACACAGAGACCCATAGACTCGCACAGAGACCCATAGACTCACACGGAGACCCGTAGCCTCACACGGAGACCCATAGCCTCACACAAAGACCCATAGCCTCACACAGAGACCCATAGCCTCACACAGAGACCCGTAGCCTCACACAGAGACCCATAGCCTCACACAGAGACCCACTTATTTAGAACTGCTTTTCGTGTTACTGGTAGGAACCTCCTGGTTACACCAGCCCACAGGGGATTATTGTGTCTGTCCGTCCGTCGTGCACCCATAAATGGGAGGGGTGGGGCTGGGTGAAGAGGGGAGGATGGGGAGGGGCTGGGTGGGGATGGAGGGGCTGGGTGGGGAGGGAGGGGCTGGTTAGGGAGGGAGGGTCTGGGTGGGGAGGGGAGGGTGGGGAGGGGCTGGGTGGGGGGTGGGAGGGGTGGGGCTGGGTGGGGAGGGGCTGGTCACCCCGTGGTGCCCTTATAAAACTCAACGTTTCACCTACTCACGCCGGCTTGTGCCCGCCCTCACAGTCGGGCATATTGTGCGGAATACACCACGTGGTGGTGCCGTTGACCCTGGCCATTGACCGAGCGACCCAACGTTCCTACCAGCTCCCTCCGCATGAATGTTTTTAGTTTGCTGTCCTTCCCCCGCCACCTCTGATTAGCGCGGTTGGCTACGTGCAGTCCATACGGCGCGCGGCCATTTCAACACAGGCAGAATAATAATAGTAAAAACGTTTTTGTCTGTTTCTTTGAGTTCCTCCCTCGTGATGGCACCTTGTAGGATGAACGTTGAGATTTATAAGGGGCACGGGGTGACCAATAAGGTCTGAATTGGTCTGTGATAAGGTAAGGCACTGATAAGGGATTTACAGGTATGTAGTGGTGAGTGTACTAGTGGTGAGTGTACTAGTGATGAGTGTAATAGTGATGAGTATAGTGATGAGTGTACTAGTGATGAGTGTACTAGTGGTGAGTGCACTAGTGGTGAGTGTTTCTTCCTTGTGATGGCACTTTGTAGGATGAACGTTGAGATTTATAAGGGGCGCGGGGTGACCAATAAGGTCCTGAATTGGTCTGTGATAAGGTAGGGCACTGATAAGGGGTTGATAGCTACGCATAAAGAACGGTCATTGTCTGAACCGTCGCCTGCTGCTTATATACAACGAGCTTTACTACCAGGCGTCGCCCAGGACTTCTCTTGGATTCATACGCGGCCTACGCGGAGGGTTGGGGGGGGGGGAGTGCGTGACGTCAGCAGGCACACTGCGTGACGCTGCCGCATGCGGGTGACATCACAGATGTTACGTAACCGCTCACTTGCCGTGCAAAATATATCCATTATTGCGCCCCTCCCCCCCCAAAAAAATATACTGAAGTCTATTTTTATACTTTTTGCATTGTGTACAGTCTGAAAGCTACCCACATGCCAAATTTCACGTTTGTTGCATGTTGGGAAGTATGCTTGAAACATTTCGAACAGACACACATATTCACAAATTTCACTTTTATTATACATATAGGTTTAAATTTTGATTTGAAGCTTTCGTGACTGCAGGGATTCATATTCTTGGTTCTTTCGGTAAAGTCACGTAGAAGGGAAACAAAATAATATTTTTTATCATTTTATTATTTACCTTCTACGTGAAAAAATAATATTTTTATTATTTTATTGTTTCCCTTCTACGTGAAAAAATAATATTTTTATTATTTTATTGTTTCCTTTCTACGTGACTTTACCGAAAGAACCAAGAATATCAATATAGATTTGATTTCTCTTTTAAGGCCACGCGGTGGCGTCCATTATCGACTCCGTGCTCCGTCGTCGTGGGGCGATTTTTATTTTATTTTTTCAACGGCAACAACGCCGCCCCGTAGCCGCTAGGGGGCGACGCAGGCTCGCAACCCCGGTACTCGCAACAGCCCTCGTGAGCGGAGCGATGCCGATAATAATGATCAGAAGGATATATTTTTATACTGAAGTAATCCGATGAGCTATGAAGCTCTTTTTTATTATAGATGTCCAGTTGATTACCTCACCTCCACCCCCCACCCACCCTCTGCCAGCTAGGGGGGATGGGCGTGTTTGTGTCGTAGTGATAATATTATTATTATTATTTGATTTCGCCTCATTCAGGCCAACAGCATCCCACACAACGCTGTAATACCACGGATTACGTTGTGGGTGTGGGGGGGGGATGAGTTCCTGATAGGTCCGATGACTAATATGTAAACGACGTGAATCGAAACGACGTAGATCACAACCAAGTGTATCGAAACGTCGTAAATCGAAACGACGTCTATCTAAATGACGTAGTAGTTACATTGGAGAAACCAAACGACATGTCTCGGACCGCATTCGTGAACACAAAGCAGACCTTAAACACGGTAGGGCCAACACCTCGGCCGTGGCAGATCACTGTTATAATTCAGTAGGCTCACTTGACATTGGCTTCTCCAAGACAGAGGTTCTTTGCAAGCCATCTGGCTACCATGAGAGATTCGTTCATGAGGCTATCCACATATACAAACACAGAGACAATTTCAACCAAGAAGATGGATTCTGGCTTAGCAATAATTGGAAGGATTTGATAAACCATTTCGGGTTTTAATTGATTGTTCACGCTTACGGTGGCTTTCAGACAGCATACATTAATTTTTCGTCTCCCCCCTCCTCTTTTCCGAACATAGATGGACTCGTCCTTCTAAACAAACTGTCAAATCGCTATCCGTGGTGCTAACGTTTTAAAAATAAATAAATACAAACCGCCACTTCTTTCAAATGTTATTGCCGTTGGTTT